AACTTTGAAGCACCCCGTTGCCCTGACGTGTTTGACCCACAATGCTGACAAAGTCACTACCCTGCGATTCGCCCTTGTTCCTGGCTAGTGCAGCGTTCTGTGCAGCGAAAATCCACGAGAAAACCTACAATCGGGCAGCCCTGGCTCTCTTCGTCTTCTCGTCTCTGACTCATCTCTTTCTCTTCCCTTTTTTTCAGCATCAAAGACTTTAAGTCACATCTCACGTCAGTTGCTTTCTTTACCAAGGGGTTGGGTTGCTATCAAGGGTTCAACAAGCATGTCTTGTTGTCACCAAAGGTCAAGCCTCTTTTTTCAGCCAAACATGCTCTTCGGTTCTCCAGAAACAATGCCTTCTAGCCATTCAATCCATTTCAATCCCGACCATGGCTCCTGAACTTCTTGTAGTTCGGCCCCTGTCGAACCATCAGGCCCTTCCCATCTCCTGGGATAAGACGACTTTGCACAAAAATGAAGGGATTTTCAATGGCCTCCAACCTAAGAGCAATGGCCTCCAACCTAGCTGTTGGGACAATCCCAAGAGGCAATTGGCAATGCTGTTTGGTGTTCCTTTTGAAATTGAGTTCTTCAAGATCTGATCAAGCAAAGATGTGTTTCCCAACGTCTCTCGACTGTGACCCGCACATAGACATTTGAATGACGTCATTGAGATTTTCCAACAAATCTAGGAAGCAAACTCATCCTGGGAGGGCTTCTTCTGCGTCCCAGCCTAGTAGCTATTTATGCTCCTACTTACCCCTCACTCGTCAGCCTACTCCTCTCCTTAAAATTCCTTAAAAACAAAAGCACAAAACACCTCAAAACACCGCAGCCCTGAGCGTTGCGGAGTCCTTGGGCCCAATAAGGTCCCTCTCCAGTCCTGAGGTGCTGAAGGACACTATGACCAAGCGGTCTTTTGTGCGGGTACCGCTGAATGCAGGGGTTTCAGTTGAAGCTCTCATGGGAGCTGAAGGACGGTTCGTGAAAGGTTCGGACTGGTTTCCCCACAATTCGTGCACAAGTTCTGGTGCAGGGAGCGAGTCAACGAGGGGGTATGGAGGTACCAACAGAGACATATTGGCCCTAGCAGACTAGCATTTTTTTGACCAAATGTCTGGATGAGAAAACACAGACTGACGTGTTAACTCGGAAGCCGTGTCAAGACAGGGCAGCCGACACACACACACACACGTCTTACTTCTTACTTACCAAACAAAGCTCGCTGCTGCTGCACATCAAAGTTCAAAACTTGTATGTCCTCTTAGTCTTGCAAAGTAAACGACAGAATGAAAACCGTCTGTACGGTAGTCACTAGATGTCACTAGGATCTCACCGAAACAGAACTGTCAATGCTACACTCAGTCGGAGCCAGTCAACATCCCGGGAAGTGTTCAAATACCGTTTTAAAAAAATCCCCTGAAGGCTATGACAAGTTTTGCAAAAGACCCCCGGCATCACAACCACGACGTCACCCATCGACCCAGCGGCGGAGGCAGGTCGTCTTTGGTCCATTGCCTCATCGTCCGGCCCAGCCATTGCTGCGCGCACGTCACCTCTTCAGAGGCGTTGAAGTGCGGGACCTGTCACGAGCATGTTTGGGCCTTCCACTCATCAAGATAGACGGATCAAAGAAATGGTCACTCTTCACAGTTGGCCGCTGGTGCTCTTCAATGCTAGAGTTGTTATGTTGGAGTTTCCAAACAGCTGTAGACTGTACACTTAAGAACTTCGCAGGGTAAAGCTAGTGCAAGGACAGTGGCAAAGCACGGCAAAAATCAAGCGAAGCCAACAGGATCAAAGACTTAAGAATGGGCCCACCAAGAGTGCCCTCAAGACCCTAGCTCTTTCCTGTGTGAGGACCTATCTATCGCCCATGGCGATTGCTCTTGGACCTCAATGGGACTCTGCTTGGTCAGCGCCTCCACTGGAGCATGCTAATATCTGGTTTGTTTGGGCCCTTCTTGAGATGCACATGAGAGATGCACATGATTTTCCGAAATATCCATACTACCAAAGAGCTCCACCAGGTCTGAGACATCCATTTACTTCATGTTACTCCTTCCAAAAGTATAAGTTGGCTGAAGGAGGCTGAAGGTGTTCTTCTGTCGTGTTCGCGCCCTTCAGCCATGGTGCCGCCGCTGGAGCAGATCGTTCTGTTCGACTTCCTCCAAGGCAGGCAAGACATGAGAAGACTTTAGCATCTTTAGCGCACTTACTCTGGAGCAAAAGGAGTTCAAGTGGAAGTTGTTTCTTGACATGGTCATCTAGACAGTCTAGGTTGGCGATCGGCCACCAAAGAAGGCAAGAAAACAATGGGAAACAACACTCCCTGCAACTCTCACCTCGCATCACCTCGCGCCTGAGAGGTTGGAAATGGCCGAGATGGCGCGCCGTGCGCGGCGGTGCAGCTCAAAGGAGGCATAGGAAGCGGCCAAGGTGCCCTGTGCCGCTCACAGTTAAATCAGATCGACCTATGTCAGGGTGATTCGTTCAAGATTTGTGGAAGTAGTGGTGAACAGAAGCAAAAAGGTGAACATATGTGAACATGATGTTCCAAATACGTTGTGAGTGCTGAAGTATGCAGAAGTTGTAGGTTGCGGAGGGTTTCATGACTTTCAAGGACATTTCAATGGATCGATTGCCCTGTGGCTTCATTTGAAGCAGGTCTTCTGACGGAGCTGTGAGTGGTACGACGCATACTGTCTTCTGCCTAGGCCAAGAATCCACCCTTTGCTCAACAAACACAGAAACCAGGACTTGTAACCTCCCGACGTTATGGTGGGATTTCCTTGGATGTCCACTCACCGTTGGGGTGTCTTTGATACTTCGAAAGCAAATCAACATCCATCTTGGTAAATCATTGAGCTCAAACACAAATGTCAGATATCCATTGAATCGGCCCTTGGTAATCATTCACTGAGAAGAGTCCCGGCCTTGGTACATTTGATCCAGGCTTGTTCCTGAGCGGCATGGAAGAGATCATCGTGCTCAGACGAGCCCTCGTAGCACTCATGGAAATCCTCGGCTCATGTGCCATGTGCGATCTGGGCGAAGGGGAAACAGTTCAAATTGACAAAACTATCAAAATATGCTGATGTCCAATTCGTGAGTTACCTATTTTGATAGACCGTCACTCGCCGCTTGCCAATGCTTCCACTGACTGCGAAACGCAACTTGTCAATGGGATACACCCCACTAAGCGGCCTGCAAAGAGATCTGCCGCAAGGCCTATGGGCCTACATGTGTTGTTTTTGGCATGGTGCCCCTATCAAGCTGTTCAACATGCTGCCAATCAAGCTTTTGTGAAGGCAAGGCACATCCCATCGGGCCTCCCTGAAGAAGTCATCTTCACCTTTGTGTAGCCACTTGAGATGTGAGAGCCCGAGGTGAGCGACGATCCCCGCGCCAAAGAAACACCAAGTGTTCTTCAGCCGTTGAGTGCAGTGGCCAATGGATGCAAATGGTGGCCAATGGATGCAAATGGTGGCCAATTTGGGTACTATTGAGTCAACATCTGGGATGTGTTGCTTCCATTGAAAACAAACAAATATTCATGCAGACAGATTTCCGCGGATTGCACAGTGGAATGTTGAAGCAGTTTGAGGCCAGGTTTTCAGGATGAAAAGGGAAGCCAGATCAATGTTTCTACAGGATCATAGAGGATCTAACCTTTGGCTCACAAGTGTCCTTATGCAACGATATGCAAAAGGGATGCAGTGCTCCCCTCCAAATCTGCCCAGTGGCCAAAGAGGCTGTCCACCTCGCATCCACGACGTGGGTTCGAGCAGCATTCCAAGCTGCCTCAAGCAAGGCGACATGGCAAAGAACAGTCCCTGGCAGCCAATGGAGGACAAAGAATCAATGAAGTCTAGTCAATCGCGCTGACTCAGGGCTAATCAATCCGACCGCTTCGTTCAAAAGCGCTATGCCGCTGTGGCTATGCGGGCCATGCATATCCTTCCATGCCAATTGGCCGAAACAGGGGTCCCATCTCATTTACAGCAAAGTCTCTGCCCAAACCCATGAGCTTCAAAGCCGCCCACGGCCGCCGTGGCGGATGCTCCGCCCAGAAGGGCGCGGGTTTAGATCAAGATCCCGAGCGGAAGCGTAAAACAAACGCCGACTAAGCACACAAAGGAGATGTGTTTAGTTGTGAACTAAACTGATGGAATCGCCCACCCACGACTATGGCCTACGAATCATACACATCTCAAAATGCACCAAACTTTAGTGTGGAAGTCTGGGGTGCTTGGGACTTCGGGACTGGAGCTTGGCTAGAACTTTGAGGCTTTTGCTCCATCTCATTGGTGCACTGGTACAAACCATTGGAAGCTTAGGACTGCAACAAGCATGAGACTCGCCAAGGAAGGCTGAGAGGTTGTTTGGATGGTGAATTAAAGAATGATCCTGACATCCAGCAACTTTCACTACAGCCTCGTTCTGAACCAACGTTGGCAGCGACGAGCGTCCACATCTACCAAACTGGTCGCGTACGTTCGCGAGTACTTTTAGGATTTTTAGGGTCCAAATGGGAGCTTGGGAGTTCAAGGACGCTACTAGTAACAAAGGGTTACTAGGAACAAGAAGCTACTAGGGGCTCCTGGCCTCGCTACTAGGAGCAAGGACGCTACTAGGGGCTCCTGGCATCGCTATTAGGAGCTTGGGGGGGGAGTTCACCTGGCAGAATTTCCACGGAACGGACATCCAGCTAGGGACGTGCACCCACTTTAGGTCGTACTTGCACCAAGACTTTGGTATACCACAATGACTGGCAACCACCACTGGTTCGCGATCATACCCATTCTAACAAAAACAAGGTGGCCATGCAGTGAACCACCTAATACTTCACAAAAACCGATAAGTGCCAGTTTTCTTGACAAACATAGATTTTTCCTGCACCAGGTCCATTCTCACCTGTCTAGATCCGTTGCTTTGGCAAAAAAACTACACCCCGAGTGCAAAAAGTCAAATCAAAACACCTCATTCACATCTCGGGCCATCACGCTGCAAGGGAGGAGCGCCAGGTATGCTGTTTGGGCCTTGGCCAAGACCCGACCGGACGCAGGAGCTACCCCGTACATCTCAGTACTATGTCTCACGTCCATCGTTTTCAGAAAGGATATGACCAGAGATCCTTCCTTGCTTAGTGAGCTCCGGGCTGTAGAGGAGTACTTCACCTGTTGCCGCGGCGAATGTCTCTCGAAAATGTCGTTCTCATCAAATGCTGCCAGCGCAACGGTGCCCAAAAATGACTCATGCAGGAAAGCAAATGACATGTTCTGCTGCCATGTGAGTGGACATTTGTCGTGCTCCAAGGTCTCATCGTGCCAGCGCAAGGCGCAAGGCAGCACCATTGTGTTCAGGATAGAAATGCGCCTACGTAACTAGCTTAACTACTATTTTTTGCCCGGGAGGGTAGGCCCTAAAAGGGAGGTAGTAGCTAGAGGTAGCTAGTATCTAGGTAGCTAGTACCTTGCTTAAGCTACTAGTATGGACCCAGAATAGCTCACGCTTCTATTCATTTAGTTCCAAGATTTTTTGGAAACTTAAAGCTTTTTGCAGCTTTGTGGCCTCACAATAAATGACAACACAAGACCTCACATGTCACCTTGGTGATTGCCCATGTATTGGTACTCACGTCGTGGCCGCCCTTTTGCACCGCCGGTACTCGTATCTAACCCCCAGACCTGCATCGCCGCAAGTGAGCAATCGAGGATCCGTCTCGGTGGAGGCCTTGCCGGATCGACACATCTCACATGGACATGGGCATGAAACCGATGGATCCTTGACAGAAATGTGCCGACTTTACAAGTACGGGCAGTACGGGGTCAAGGGAAAGCGCAAGCCTGATGTAAAAAGAATAAATATATTACATGGAATTATATATGCCCATTGGACCGTTTTCGCTATGGCACACATTCGCTCTGCCTTCGGAGCTTCTCAAAAGGCGCTCTTCGACCCGAGGTTCCAAACGGCAAAGGAAAGGAATGAGTGGCAAACAAGATATTGCCACAGCTCAAATGGAGAACAAACTACACTCGACTCCGGTATCCTTTGGCCATGACTGCCACGGCGTTGACTCCTCGTTCATGAGCTGTGACCTTGGACGCAGCTCAAACGGCCCGTGATGGCCCATGGGGCTGTGCTTTGTGCTCTTCAATGTAAATCCATGCAAATACAACATTGGGTGACTTGGGTGTAGTTGGAATAGGCCGATATTGCAACCAATGGCCTTTGCCGCTTCTCTCTAGGGTCCAGGGTCTTGCACCTAGGGAACCTCGGAAGGGACCTCTTGCTGCTGAATGTTGCTACGAGTGCTTGACACAGTGCATGCGGGGAGTGGAAGAGCAGGGCAGTGTAGGGAATCCAAATCCACTCCAAGCTCGGAGATTTCATCCAAGGGTAGCCTGCTTTGTCTATCGCCAATATGACCAAAAGATTGGATGATATTGCTGCTGTGGGTAGTAAGACTGCCGCGACCGTCTACGTACTTTCACCCGGAAAATGGCTGCAGACTTTGGAGGTGGCTTCAAATTTGTGGGTGGTGCAATGCCTTTGGAAGACCTGGCACTACGGAGATCTGCAGAGTGAAGTTCTCCATAGGCTCCGATCTTCCCATCTTGGGCCTCCGACGATCTGGTGCACTTCCTGGGCCGTTTCAGGATCCCACACCTCAGGACATCGGGGTGGAGGCCATCGCTACTAGGAGGGATCGGATGCTACTAGGGGCTCCTGGCATCGCTACTAGGAGCAAGGACGCTATTAGGTTGGAGGCCATCGCTACTAGGGTGGAGCCCATCCCAACAGCGTCGAAGCAACAGACGTGTTCCAGGTGTCCGTGCCCGCAACAAACCGTCGAGACCACTCGACACCACATGCCGGAAGCTTTGGTCCAGCCTCAGACGGTATCACTGATGTCAGATGACAAAAGGATACAAATGGATGGTACATTTATGTGCAAATTACTTGTTGAATGCAGCTGCAGCTGTTGGCTATTGTTCATGTGCTCGGTGTTCGGCGTTCTTAAGGTTTTGCATGGTGTCCTGTCACATCTACACCACGAATAGTTAGTATGGAAACCCGTGTCTATGCCAACGGCCATCAGGTATGCCTACAAAATGCTCTTTCACAGCACAAAACAGGAAACTGGAAAGAGGTCGACCGAGATGGCCATGGTTCAAACTTGGTGCATTCAAGCGGCCAAACATGCATGAAATGCGATCAATGTATTGTCACTCGCACAATTCCAGCTGAATCTTGATCGCAGTCCCGATGCTTTCACTCGCTGCTGCCATTTGTCTTGTTTGAGATCTGGAGTTCAATCAAGCAAGAGGAGGTGCTCAATCACGCAAGATTGTCTTGAAGCCTCAAGTCCCGAGTGATGACCTGTCCAGTAGCTACCTCATGCGACATCTTGCGCGTTGCCCTGAAAACTGCCAGCCTTACTGCTAGCAACGTGTTCTGAAAATTTGGAGCTATTGATGTTCGTGAAGACTACATAAGAATACCTACCACCAATCGCAGTGGAAGATCATGCAGGCTATAATGATGAAAAGCAGCCCAATGAGATGTTCACGATCTTTTCATGCTTTAGGAATCCTCAGGGCTCATGCGGCAGCAGTGACAGCTGTACTGAGCATCACACGCTTGCACCTTGGCTGATCGGAGATCAAAGAGTCACCAAGTGCCCAACATGGCAAGAACATCCACGGATGTTAAAAACATCTGAGAAGGGCAATGGTCCATGACATCGATGAGACACTTTTTGAAATTATATAGGATGTGTGCATATAATATATAAAATATATTATATATATATCGTATATATATATATATATGTATGAATGTACATGAGGATCACATCTGAAGCCTCAAATCTCTTCAGCAAAAAAAGCTGTGATAGCTGCCCTTCCTGCGCACTAAGTTCTGAACAGAGGTAATTAAACTCTGGCCTCAGTCACTCCACTGTATCCTCTTCCTAGAAACTGCTGAAGTCACGAAAAGTATACAAATAGGACAACTTGACAACCGTCCATGGAAAGAGTGAAAAGTGCTGAACAATTTGTTGATGAGCCAGCAACCGACAAGAAGGGAGCTCGGAAACTCTCAAGTCCCAAGCGTCCCAAGCGTCCCAACCCCACCAGGCCCATCCCTGTGCCCATCCTGTCTGGGGCCCTCACCGTGTGCTGAGCGAACCGAGGCATCCCAGCGGAACTTGGAGGGCAACGCACCCCGCAAGCCACGCCCCTGCGAAAGGATGGGACCGGCACCACCGGCCCAAAAGCCCCTAGTAGCTTCTTGTTCCTAGTAGTAACAAGTGCATCGCTAGTAGTAACAAGTGCCTTACTAGTAGTAACAAGAAGCTAGTAGAAACAATCAGCTAATAGCTTCTTGTTCCTAGTAGTAAGGCCAGGAGCCCCCAGTAGCGTCCTTGCTCCTAGTAGAAAATGAAACCACTTCCTGATAAAGCATGACACTTTGTTTCTTGGCTTATTCATTCGGTGGGCCGCATGATTGAAACATTTCTACGGCAGGCTCCCCAGGCTCCCCTTTCTTCATTTCTTTGAGGGCACCATGGACGCCGCGGTTAGCCAGGCTTACATTCCTGGCTGTGGCTACCCCCACCGCAAGGAAGCCTGGTATGCACACATCGGCACAACTCTTCTTAAAAGACTGGAAACATCATTCAGAAAGAGCAAACTAAGCCTTTTGAAAACTCCGTGTGCTTGTTTTACTTTGTTCGGAACTGAAAGTACGTTGATGAGTCGGCCATTCCAACTCCACCCTTGACCTATGATACAATTCCGATGATGAGTCTTAAGAACCCCTCCAAAGAACACACATTAGTTGCTACAAAACTAAAAGGCAAAAAGATATAGCATTAACACATAACAAGCGTTGTTCAGTAGAGGCTAAACAAGTCAAGAAGAACTTTCCGACTCCCCATGAACCAGCAACTCCCCTCAGATTCCTGCCTCCCCTGGCTCCAGCGCGCCAAAGTGCAGCGTGGAGTCGCCGAAACCCATGGCCAGCTGAGGTGCCTCGGGGCACCTGGAGCGCAAAGAAAAGTCTAAGGAAACAAAGGGACACTGGATAGACTAATAACAAGAAGCTACTAGTAGCAAAGGGCATCGCTACTAGGAGCAAGGACACTGCTAGGGGCTCCTGGCCTTACTACTAGGAACAAGAAGCTACTAGTTCAGAACAGGAAACTATTCTTTGGCATGTGAGAAAAAGGACATCATATGGCGAGGTGCAATTCCTTCACCTGAAATGTCGATTCGTCTCCACCAGGGTCCGTTTGAAATCTCACCTGCGGCGGGCTTCGCCGCTTCGCCACATAGTTGCACTTACTTCATCGAATCCATTCAAATCTGCTGAGTCAAACACCAGCTGGTGCAACACGCGGCTGCAGCTCCCCAATGAGGAGACTCCGAAATAGATACCTCAGACAAACATGGCCATGTTCCCAAAACACCTTCTAACTCACGGAGGGCATAGTTACAATTTCAGATCTGGGGGGGTGGAAAGTGTAGAAGAAACATGTCATGCAAATTTGTGCCGGGAGAGCGCAGCGCCCAATATCCCTTCCTTGTTTCTTTCTTTCGCTTTGATAAATGCTAAATGTGTTTCTGGACGCTTGGTCCGTAGCTGGGAGCACCTGGCGTCCGTTTCTTTCTCTCTCTTTCCCCTTTGATTCCTTTCCCTCGCTTAGAGCATCCTACTCTTTCTACTTTTTACTCCTTCTTGTCCCTCGATTGATGTGCCCCGCACGCTTGCGTCGTAGCTTGGAGCATGTAGCGTCCTCTTGTTACTAGTAGTAAGGCCAGGAGCTACTAGTAGCGATGCCCTTGCTCCTAGTGGCGATGCCCTTTGTTACTAGTAAGCCTATGTTCTTGTTCTGTGTGCTCTTCCTCTCCTGGCCACCCAAGGCCCTTAGTTTGCGCACGGCATGCCAACAAACCGATAATTCACTGTTTGCTCCCGCGTCCTTGTTCCTAGTAGTAAGGCCAGGAGCCCCTAGTAGCGTCCTTGCTCCTAGTAGCGATGCCAGGAGCCCCAAGTAGCGTCCTAGTATCTTTTAATGAGGTCTGGCCATTTTTTTGCTCGTCATGTCTTGTTTTCTATCAATTTCTTCTCTTGCGTGCCAATTGGTCTCGACCTTAGTTTGCGCACGCGTGCCCTTATTCGCATGCAAACCAGGCCTAGGTGCTCCAGGTCTCTGACAATGAGGTTTGGCTCGGCGGTTTCCTTTCATCTCCCTTTCACAAACCCGTTGTCTTGCTTATGTCTGGTCTTTCATGTCTCCCCTCATGTCTTGGGCGCACGTTTCCCTGTTGCACCCCCATTGGTGGCTGCCCCTTACCTGGAACCCTTGAATTACAAGGCTAAATACGGAGCCTTACAGTAGTTCCTTCATTTTCCTGTTCCTCTCCTTCCCTTGTCTCACGGCGACCTGCTCTGGACTAGCTCAAGGTGGTGGACGTTTGCTGCGTCCGGGGCCCTGGTTCCTTCCTCTCCCTCTTCCCCTTCCTCTCCCCCTGTTGCCTATGGGGCAACAAGTTGCGGGCGCATCACCCAAATCAGCCCCCTGAGGGGTGGTGGGTGGGTGTGGATTTTGAGGGAGGTTTCGTTTAAAGTTTAGACAGAAGAGTCTTCATGGTTTGAGCTTTGCACAAACACCTTATCCCTACCAAAATGAGGACGGCAGAATGTGCGAAAACCTGAAGTCAGGGGCTTTCAGTTAGTTT